TTTTTTTTTTTTTTTTTTGTGGGCCGAACCAACATCCCAAATCAACTCAGAAACTTCATCTAACTAGTATGAATAATCAAAATTTTAGGTTGTAAGGGTCAAGAATCTGAAATGAATTAATATTGCTTTGCTCGAGGTTGAATTCAAAGTTCTGCACATGAAAATTTCAATGGTAAATTTGATTCTCAAATGAAGTGAATGGTGGATAGAATTAGGCAAATTCAGTTGTTTGTTCTTGGTATATTGATTTGATCTTATGTGTTTTAGTGAAGTACAGTGAATTGTGTGTATTCAAGAAAATGTGAAATTTTCTCTAATCTGTAATAGTGAATTTGTGTTGTTTGCTTGTGAAGTGGATTGCTTTCTGAATTAGAATACTTATCAGCAAATGTTTGTTTTCTGAATTAACATACACTTGAGAAAAGACACGGAATAGGCATTAGATATTGCAGTTGAGATCAACCATGAAAACAAAAATGCAAGATGAATCAAACATGAAAAAGTACAGCACTTTAAAGGAGCCATGACAGTTTAAGATCATCTTGACTGCTAAAATATTAATTCTCCATTAAGGTCAAGACAATCAATGTTACATTACAACTTCAAATCCAAAACTCATCCAAAAATCACCCATCACACGTCACCACTCACCATAAACAACTTCAAAATCGCAATTCATCAATTACTCTTCACAATTACATCACAACAGCTTACCATAACCATTCACCATAATCCATAATCATAACCATAATTATTTAAACCAAAACAACATCACGCAAAAATAACCATCCAAACCAGAACAACATCACATAACCATAACCATTCAAACCAAAACAACATGTCTTAGTATTTTTTACTTCACTGCGCTTCGCTTCGTTTGTTGGTTTCATACTTAAACCATTCCTTAGTCCATTCCTCTGGCCTTGCCTCCTTGTTTGGAGACCTCTTGTCACTTGAGCGAGGCGTATACTTGGCCCGTTTAACCTTGGTCATATCATCCTCAATGAAGTCAGCTTCTAACGATTCTTTTACGTTGATGTAGTTACTTCATCTCATCAGCAGCTCATCAAACGACCCCGTCGGCCTCTTCGCAAACAAATTCCTACACAGTTCAGGTTGAAGACCTCGGGTCACACGACCTTGATCTCCTTAGAGGCTGAGGGACCTCCATACACTTCTTAGTGTAACAAGCTACATACTTGCAGAGAGTTTCTTCTTCTAATTGTTGCGTGCTAATCAGTGCCAGGTGGGTCTTCTCGTGTTTTCTCGCACTTGAAAATTGGCAAATGAACTGAAAACTGAGCCTTTCGGACTTGTATATAGATCTAAAAGGCAGCTGGTTGAACCAGTCCTGTGTCGACCCCTTTAGAGTGGTGAGGAAGTCCCTACAACAAATAGCATTATTGTATTTGTGGAAAACAATTGTGTTCTCAAACGACCTCAAATGTCTAGTTGGATCTGTTGAGCCATCATAAGTTATGTTCAAGTCGTGGGAGTTGTTCGGTAAGTTTGCCTCTAGTACCTCTTCTGAAGTCGGGGGACCATGAATCCTTGGTGCTACCCATACCCCCACTAGGGCCTACAATTCAGGCACCTGGGCAGTCAACAGTTCGAGTGCACGACCCTGAGCTCCTCGTGATGCGTGTGAATATGACCACGACCTAACCTTAGTTTTCTCCTACCTCTTTTGAGGTTGTGGTTGTTACACAAGCGCTCGAGCTCGAGCTAGAGCCTCTACCACAATCCGATCTAACACAACCCAGTGAGTTGGATCATCTGGTCTCTCCCAGGTACCCCATATACCCTGAGATCGACCAACTGGCCTTCTTGTTGCCCCAGAGTTCGGTTGAGCCCCAGATATTCTTGTTGCTACACTCTTGCGACTTGAGCTGTTGCAAAATCCTGGACCTCTTGATTTCATATTTTTCCTTGGGCGACCATCGGCTCCTCACTTGTCCGGAATCTCCTTAAGGTGTTTGGCACCGCGGTTAATGCCGAACGAGATGCCAACAATGTTTTCAATGGTTTGACCAACGCGTCGGCCGACGCCAACCAGGCTGGTGGAGGACATGTTCCAAGCGGTCGCGACGTCCACACCGCATCCAACTCATTCGCTAAGTTTTTCTGGGAATTTTCGCCTGCATGATCTTCAAAGTTTCTTGTAACAGTATGTACGAAATTGATTTGCATCTTATAGCTGGTAAAATACTAGAGTTAATCCTACATACGACGTCAATTTGATGTGCAATATGTCTTGAACCGGGTTGAACACGCAGCCTCCACGCACGCTTACCAGCTCGAAGCTCCGGTGACCTGCAAAGCGCTGGGAGGAGTCTCGACGTAACACTCTGACGCTCAAGTTATGATTTGCTTGAGGAAGTACTAAAAATCATAAATTATGCGCATATGTAATGGGTGAGATAGAGTAACCTGGTTATCCTATGGTAGTTTAGCCTCCAAGAGAGTCCTGGTTAGAAAAAAGATCATCTCAAATCTACTTTCCTTACCTGCCACGTCTCTAAGATCTTTAGGACTCTTAAACAATATACACATTCCACCCATGAAGGATTCTCTCCCTCATACTGCACGACTCTTTGGTTCCCATGTCGTAACCACGACCTCTATACGTTTTGCCGTGAGTTGTACATAGGTCCGAAACACGACCTCCACCCCATGACCTAAAGGCCATGAGGTCTCATCGACTATTCGAGCTCCCTAGATTCGCCGACCTACGAGCTACATGAACCGGATCTACCTGTATCCCGAGCTGATTGAGCGAACGCCATGCCACACGTGCATACAGGAACCAAGCTGAGCTCACCTAAACCAAGCTCTGCCGACTAGCCTTGTCTGATCGGTTCGCCGAACTATTAAAAGTGCTACATGACAAAGTTGAAAAAAAAATTAAATATGCCTAAAATCTTTCTCACACGTGGGCCTAAAACGAGCCTTTGCTCTCATTATTAACAAAAGAAAAAGGGGCTCACAATAAAAAGATACATCATGCACGGTGCCACATCTCACTTATATCCATCACAACGGTTAATATATAATAATAATAATAATAGTAATGATAATAATAATACTCAAGAAAAAGTACAACATGGACAGCACACTTTTCCACAGGTTGGCTGATTCAATTAATAGGACC